CTAACCCACTGTGCCACCCAGGTGCCCCTTCATCATTCAACTTCTAACTTGCCATCTTATTTCTTTAAACGATAGCTTCTGTCCTAGTGAGGTCCTCACAGCACATCACAATGATGTCTGCTGAATTTGACAGGCTACTGGGTTAACACTTTAGCAGTTACCAGGGCTCAGTTTTGTGGCAGGCACATCATGTGGAATTATAGATTCTGGGGAATGGCTAAAGAAGGTTAACAGGACACTTAACAAATATATGGAACCACCAAAAACAGTTAATCGGAGAATATTTTCTATTAATTAAAAAATTACTTGTTTAAATGACAGTTTTAAGTTTTTAATTTTATTAACTGGATTTTATTACCTGTATTAAATATTGATTATAAAGAATTGGTGGATGCTTCTAAAATGATTCACAATCTAACAAAATAGAAGTCATTCTGAATCATATCTTATCACTGTTATCAAACAAAAACTAAACAAAACAATACTGTGTTCATCAGTATCTGTGAAGATTTATTTTGTCAACTTGGCCATACCTGGCCAAGCTATGGTACCCAGTTGTTTGGTCAGTCTAGATATTGCTGTAAAGGTATTTTTCAGATGTGATGAACATTTAAATCAGTAGACTCTGAGTAAAGATTACCTTCCATAATGTAAAAGGGTCTCATCCAATAAATTGAAGGGCTAAAGAGAAAAAACTGAAGTCCTTTTGGATTCAAGACTGCAACATCAATTCCTTCCTGGGTCTCCAGCCTGCCAACCTACTGGAGTGCCCAAACAACTGTATGAACCAATTCCTTAAAATCAATCTCCTCCCTCCCTCTTTCCCTCTCTCCCTTTCCCTCTCTCTATGTATTTCCTATTGCTTCTATTTCTTTGGAGAACCCTGACTAATACAGGATCCATATTTTCAAATCAAATTTACATATTTATGTATGTAAATATAAATGCCCCAATGACCATGTCTGATTTGCTTCAATTTTTAGCACCATTATACATTTCATACTCAATAAATGATTACTGCCTGAGCACATTAATAAATGAGTGTCTAAATCAAACAAATAGAACAAACTATTACCTTTAGCTGGACAGATGGAAAATGCCATTCCTCTTTTTGTGGTTACTGGTTGCCATTCAAATTTGGCAAAATAATTCTGATGATTATACAACCCAACTGTCCCCATAAAACACGTTTTCATGGAGTAGCCTTGTGGTCTCAATACTAGCTCATTAGAAGAGAGCTCAAGCTTTACTGGCATGACAACTGCCATCACTAGGATATGGCCACCAGGTATATTGTTCACTGTAAAGGTGAAAGACCTGTAACACAGCAAAAGCTGTCAAACTTAACTGAAAATAGCTATTTGCAGGTACAGAATTCAGTTACAAATAAAAATGCAATATTATTGATTAACACCCACAATTAGTAAGCAATACATCAAAATATTTATGGCAGGCTACCACTGAAATATCAAACTACAAATCTACAAATTGATGTACATATAGTTTCTATGTTTGAGGACCAAACGTAACATATTCTACAATTACAGAGTCAAAAAAATACATATTCTACAAAGGGACACTGATTCTAGCATATAGAAATTCAAAAATAAATCCTACTTCCAAAATTTTCCAATGGTGGGAGATTCAAATACCATTGAAATATAAGTACTAGCTGTAGGTGGAATCACATATGAAAATTGGTTGGTTTTTTGAAGTTCTTCCAAATTAATATCTAACTGGATCAAAATATGCATAGGTAGCATATTAATAACATGCAGTAGACGAGTATTTGTGGAGTTCACACAAACATCACCAAAGTTAAGGACAGAGGGCCCTGAAAAAATGAAAAATGATTAAGTTTAGTGTTGGCAAACGTATTCAGTAATTTTAAGTTTCCATACTATATTTTCACCAATTAATTTATAAAAAATGGTACTCAGAAAAATATTTCTTATAATATCAGAAGTTATTAACTAAGATTTTTATCAAAATGCCCATAATTTGGTGTTTGGAGATTATTGGCTAAAATTCAATATAAATATATCCTAATTATATGGAAAATGATATTGAAAAATTATTAGTACTCATAACTCATTTTAGTACACTAATTTGCATACTCCAACACCTTCTCCACTTCCATCAATACATTTATGTTCATTTACCCAGAACTTACAGAAATTGGTAATTTTCCCATTGCTCAGTACTTAAGTTTTCCCTTTTATTTTTTTTAAGATTTATTTATTTACTTTAGAGAGAGAGAGCATGAGTGAGGGGAGTTTTAAGATTTCCCTTCTAAATGACAGAAGTTTTTATATCATACAATTTTAATAATTTTAGGTCTTCTACATCTTTTAACAGCTTGATTTAATAGTAACTGATATACAATAAGCTGCACATGTTTAAAGTGTAGAATTTCCTAAATGTTGACATATGCATACACCTATGAAACCAACACCACAAGGAAGAGAGTGAACATTCATCACTCCAAAGTTCTCTTGTGCCTCTTTATATTCTCTCCTTCCCATCATCCTCAGTACTCCCCCTTCCCAGACCCCCACTCAAATGCTTTATGTCACAGTAGATCAGTTCACATGTTCTAGAGTTTTTTAAGAGTGGAATAATGTAACATGTGCAGTTTGGCTCTGATTTCTTTAGCTCTACAAATTCCCTGGAGATTCATTCAAGTTGTGTCAAGTGTCAGTAGTCCATTCTTTTGTATTACAAAGTGGTAGTCCATTACAGGTGAATGTCTCTTCACTTGTTAAATGAAACTTGGATTGCTTCTAGGTACTGGCTACTACAATTAAAGCTGCTAAAATATTTGTGCACAAATATTTGTTTGAACACATGATTTCATTTCTTTCAGACAAATATCTAGGAGTGGAATGCATGGATCATATGGTAAATGCATGTATAAATGTATAAGAAACTGCCTGTTTTCAAGTGGTTGTGTAATTTCCCAATTCACTGGCAATGTATAAGAGTCCCAGATCCCTCACATCCTTGGCAACAATTGAAATGGTGAGTTTCTGGTTTGTTCATTTTGTTTTGTTTTGTTTAACTTCAGCCATTTTAAGAGATTTACAGTAGTATCTCGTTGTGGTTTTATTCTGTTTCCCTAACAACTAACAACATTGTGCATCTTTCTATGTGCTTATTTCTCATGTGTATATCCTTGTTGATGAAGTATCTGTTCAAATCCCTTTGCCCATTTTTTAATTGGGTCATTTGTTTTCCTAATATTGAGTCTCAAAAGTTTTTGTTTTTGTTTTTTTTAAAGATTTTATTTATTTATTTGAGAGAGAGAATGAGAGAGAGAGAGAGCACATGAGAGGGGGGAGGGTCAGAGGGAGAAGCAGACCCCCTGCTGAGCAAGGAGCCTGATATGGGACTCGATCCCGGGACTCCAGGATCATGACCTGAGCCGAAGGCAGTCGCTTAACCAACTGAGCCACCCAGGCACCCGAGTCTCAAAAGTTTTATACACATTATGGTTGCAATTCTTTCATGAGATACATAATTTGCAAATATTTTCTATCAGTCTATTCTTGTTTCTCTGTGCTAATGTCTTCCAGCCCCTTACAAAAGAGAAATAGCAATATATTCAAAAAGTATAGCAGATTTTAGAGTAATACTTCTCTTCCATATTTCAAAAAATTTATTTCTAGACAAAATTAAGTGAACACAATCCACTGTACTCCTCTGCTAATTACAAATTAAAATGTTGACAAAAATCTATGAAATAAACATCAGAAACTTCGGAAAAGTCACAAGGAAATGGATTGTCTAGGAATTTTAGGAATAGAGAGATAAACCTGTAGTGAATTTTCCTGGGTTATCATCGTGGCCTGGGCATTAGAGTAGCCTGCAGCCCATTCTCTCCACCCAAAGAACTGGGAAGAGGGTGGCCCTCTGCGGCCAAACCCTTTTAACTATACCTGCCCTATTCCAGGCAAACATCATGGAAGAAGTTGATCCCCTCAACACTAGGTTCTCAGAAGACTGGAGTAGAGCCCCATCAATGATCCCTACCCTGCAGTAAGATGAAGAGAGACATCATTTCTTCCCTTCTCCACTAAAGAGGAAGTCCCTGTGGAGTTGCTGGGGTTGAGCCCTGTCAACCATATCTGCCCTGCATGAAGGCTGACAGAGGCAGTGCCCCTGTCCCTCTGGACCATGGGCCTAAGAGACTGTAGGGTAGAGTCCTATTGACTACCAGCACCCGGCACTAAGAGGAACAGCAGTAACATCCCTCCCCTCCACTTGGCACTGCAGTGTATGAAATAAAGGCCTGCGGACCAAGGCTGCCCTGTATTAGACAAATGTCAGCAAACAGATGCTGCCCCTACCTCCCTACTATCACAGTGGCCACTCCACACCTCACTAAACAAAAGCAGGCAAATAACTGACACCCCTCCCCCCCCACCTAAAAAGTAGGGGGAGGGACAGAGAGAGGTGGGAGTTAGCCAAGGACCTATTTTTAAATATGTGAATGAAGCTGTGGTCATATGTTGAACAGCCCATGTGTGAAATCTATCAGAACCAACACAGCAAATGGATTAAGAACAGAACTACAGGGGCGCCTGGGTGGCTCAGTTGGTTAAGCAACTGCCTTCGGCTCAGGTCATGATCTCAGGGTCCTGGGATCAAGCCCCACATCGGGCTCCCTGCTCGGCGGGAAGCCGGCTTCTCCCTTTCCCCCACTCCCCCTGCTTGTGTACTCAATCTCTCTCTCTGTCAAATAAATAAATAAAATCTTTTTTAAAAAAAAACAGAACTACAATGTGAAATAATGCCTGCGTTTCATATAGTCTTCTGGGGAGCATACAAAAAGGGAAAACCAGCATAGTACCACAAACGCTTTGAAAATTAAATTGACACTTGTTACCCAGCACACAAATGTGGACTACAATGTATATTCCAGAGCTAAATGGATCATCTGCATCCTAAAATAGATTAGTTAAATAGTAAACAAAGTCTCATAATATAGTACTCAAAATGCCCAAGGTATAAACCAAAATTACTCATCATACCAAGACTGAGATGACAGAGATGATCAAATTGCTTGACAAAAGTTTTAAAGAAGCTATTATAAAAATGACCAAATAAGCAATGATGAATACTCTTGAAATAAGTAGAAAAACAGTTTCAGCAAAGAAAGAGAATATCCAAAGAAGAACTAAATAGAAACTCTAAGATTAAAAAATACAGGAAGTAAAATAGAAACCTCTTGAGTATGCCCTTTAACAGAATGGGAGGACAGAAGAAAAAGCTGGTGAACCTGAAGAAATATCAACAGAATTTATCCAATCTGACAAACAAAAAGAAAACAGATTGAAAAAAATTAAGAGTCTCAGAGACCCATGGAACAAAAGCAAAAGGTCTAAAAATCATGTAAGTGGAGCCCCAGAATGAGAAAGTAAAAGATGGAGGGGACTGGGAAAATATTTGGGAAAAAATGACAGCTGAAAAATGCCCAAATGTAGCAAAAAAAAAAAAAAAGTAAAATTTCACATTCTAGAAGCTCAGTGAAACCCGAACAGAACAAATCCAAAGAAAGCCATGCCCAGACTTTTGAAAACTTTTTAAACTTTTGAGATAAACTTGAAAGTAAAAACAAAGAATCTTGAATAACATTCCACAGTCTTGATATAACAACATTTATATCAAATGTAAATGACACAAATGCACCAATTAAAAAACAGAGATTGTCAGAATGGATGAAAAAGTACTATATGCTGCCCACAGGAAACTTACTTCAAATACAATGACATAGGTAAGTCAAAAGTAGAAACAAGTAAAAAGATAAACAATGCAAAGGCTAAACAAAAGAAAGCTTTGGTAGCTAGATCAATATCAGACAAACTACATTTCAGAACAAAGAAAATTACCAGGGACAAAGAGGGACATTACATAATGATAAAAGGGACCATGAAGGCATAACAGTCTTAAATGTGTATGTACCAAACAAGGGAGCTTCAAAATATGTGAAGCAAAACAGACAGAATTAAAAGGAGAAATAATAAAATCTATAATCACAGTTTGGGATGTCAATCACCTTTGTCAATAACTGACAGACTGTCTAGACAAAAAAGCAGTAAGGATTTAGTAGAAATAAATACCTTTAACTGGGATATAATTGACATTTAAAGAACACTCCATCCAACAATAGCAGAATACTTCTTTTCAAGTCACATGAACCTTCAACAAAAGGGCCCACATCCAGGATCACCCTTAACAAATCTTGAAAAATTTAAAAGAATTGAATACATACATGTGTGTACTTTGACCAAATGGAATCAAACTAGAAAACCATAGCAGAAAGAAAACCAAAAAATCTTGGAATTTAAGTAACACACTTCTAAATAACTGATGAGCCAAAGAGAGTATTTCAAGGAAAATTAGATAACACAGTTGACCCTTGAACAATAGGGGTTTCAACTGCATGGGTCCACTTATATGCACCTCCACCCCAATAAACATGTATTTTATATTAATCACCAAATAACTAGAAGCAAAGGGAAGGCTGAGGAAAGATGCAGAGAAAGCTGGAACAGCAAGGCTTTTGCCTGATCCAGACACTCCTCACAAAGGAATTGGCTCTGGGGAGGGATTCTCACCAAAGCAGCAGAGCCCTTCACTAGTGGGAGTTGAACAAGGACCACTGAATGATAACCCACCTTCCACCCCTGGATCAAGGGGTCTGGGAGAACATGGATGTGTGTGTGGGGGGGAGGCAGGTCAGAATAGCCCCCGGGAGAAGCCCAAAGTGGACAACGGAGAGGGGCACTGTACATGGTGCTGAAAGTGCTTCCAGGTGGGCAGTTCATACTG